CTCTCTCTCTCTCTCTCTCTCTCTCTCTCTCTCTCTCTCTCTCTCTCTCTCCCTCTCTGCACACTGTCTTCCCCAGGCCTGTACACACCCCCTCTAATAAACTCTAAGCAGGTTTGTTGCGTGTTCTGTGTTTCCTTCTCACTCGCGCCAGGTGATTTCACAGGCACTTGCTGGTCTGAGTCAACCTAAAAACAGTGAGCCCCAGGTTTAATGAGAGACCATCTCGTGAAAGTACTCATGTAAATAAGACTGGAAGACACAGAATAGAAGACCCAGTGTCCTCCCCTGGTCTTTGCATGCTTGCACAGGTGTGTATACCCCCAACACACACACACCAAATATTTAGGAACAAGATGGGTCAGCATGTAAGGGTGCTTGCTAGCAAGCCTGAAGAACTAAATTCTAATCCTGGAACCCACACAGTGGATAGGAGGAACCAACTCCCTTCCAGGTTTCTTCTGACCCCCACATGCATGCCTCTACACATGTTCTCTTTTAATATCAATATATTTTAGTTTTAACTTAAAGCCAAATAAACAAAGCATGGAACTGGGTAATATATGAGGCATTCTGTAGCCTCGCAAGGTCTGTGTAACCCATTGACAAGAAAGAGTAAAGGCTGAGGACATAAATAGATCCACACTTACCATCCGGGGACAGTCTGCTCATCAGCCCTGGGGAAGGAGGGAAAAAAACAAAAAGCGAAACAAACAAAAACAAATGATATCAACACACACAGCAATTGCAACAGAAGGAAAATCCACAATGAATGGATTTTTCCAGTCCAAGGGACTCAACCAACCCTCTGGGGGAAGTATGGCTGTGGTGCCAAGGCCACTTAGGAAGGCAGGAGGTGGAGCATTATAAACCTAGTCTGTTTGTTTTTTAAGTGGTTTCCCCCCACCCCTCAACAATAGGCTGTAGGTTTCCATTTCTCTGTGACTTTTTCTCCCAGCATTTTTTGTCTCTCTGAGATGGAGCCCATCTTCCCTCATGTAAGGCGGATCTCTTTGGACCTATTATACCCCTAGAGCAAAGGAGGTCGGGACACCCACTCTGACCCCAGCCAGTCAACCATTCGGGCACCTCTGCATTGCTGGAATTGACAGAGACTCAGTCCCTGCTCCAGAAGAGACACATAGACAACTTCAGACCAAAAGAAAGCAGGCTAAAGGAAGAATTACCAGGTGAGACACCCTAAACTCCCCAAATAAAAACCCCAGACCCCAGCTCTCCTGCCCGTCTCAGAGTTCCTCCCCTACCTGAAAAATCTACAACACCTGTATTTAGCTTTCACTGTGTGCCAAACTATTCTCCTGTTTTTTTCTGAGACAGGGTCTCTCTGTGCAGCCCTGGCTGTTCTGTAGACAGAGCTTGCTCTGTAGACCAGGCTAGCCTCAAATTCGCAGAGTTTCTCTTTAACTAATGGAGAAAAGGAAAACCCATTGATCAGCTAGGATCAAAACAAGTTAGAGCAGTGGTTCTCAACCTGGGGGTCAAATGTCCCTATCACGGGCGTTGCCTAAGACTGTCCACATGTCAGGTATTTACATTACAATTTGTTACAGTAGCAAAATTACAATGTGAAGTAGCAATGAAAATAATTTTAGGATTGGGGGCACCACAACATGAGGAACTGTATTAAAGGGGCACAACATTAAGAAGGTTGAGAACCACTGATTTAGAATTTCCTTAAGCGTCTCAATTCCTTGTCCCAGCGCAGTTATAGAAGGCCCTGTTTGCCTCCAGTGTGGTCTGAACATCAAGTCAGAAGGCAATTTAATCGTTGAGCAAACATCATAGCATGGACTTCCTCAAACTGAGGTTTGGGTTCTGGCACTGATATGTGGTGACAGGGTACCACCACATATCCTCACTCACCCAGCATATGGGTGTCATACAGTACATGACCAGGAAGGACCCCCACTAGATTCTGAATTAATTCCATCTTTGGGTTTCCATCATCAGAATATAACACATGCTAAAATCATAGCAATTTTCTATGTGTATGTGTGCTCAGGTGTGACATATACACGCGTGTGCACATTGAGGCCGAAGATCAACCTCCGATGCTGTTAAGGAGCCATCTATCTTGTCACTTTCCCCCCAAGACTTAATTTTTAAGTTTTTCTCACGTGTATGTGTGTGGGTGTGTACGGGTGAGTGCAATGCCTGCTGAGACCAGAGGAGGGTGACGGCTCCCTTGGAGCTGGAGTCATAAGCAGTCATGGGCTGCTGGACATGGCTGTTGGGACCTGAACTCAGATCCTCTGGAAGCGCAGTAGGTGCTCCTAACCACGGAGTCATCATCTCTCCAGCCCCTGCTCCGGTCTTTAAGAGTGAGGAGCTGCTCTTACCACACTGGGTACATGAGGGGCAGAGGACAACATGCAGGAGTTGGGTTCTCTGCCTTTACCATGTCTCTAGGATGAGGTCAGGTCATCAAGCAGCAAGAACTTCTACCTCCTGATCCATCTTGTCAACCCTTTAAATATATGCACGTGTGTGTGTGTGTGTGTGTGTGTGTGTGTGTGTGTGTGTATGTGTGTGTGTACATGTAGCATGGTGTGTGTGTGGAGGTTAAAAGACAACCTTCAGTGCAGTCCACAATTTTAATTCTCGGAGACAGGGTCTATGTAGCCCATAGTTCTGGAACTCTCTATGTAGACCAGGCTGGTCTCGAGCTCACACAGTCCCTGTCTCTCCCTTCTGAGTGGCTGGGGTTAAAGGTATTCACCACTACAACTGTCTCCCGGCCCACAAATTCTTGCTCAAAGTCTTCCATTGAACTTCGCAGTCCATGACATTGTCAATGGGATTCACACACTTACCCAGGATTCCTGATGGCAGCAGGACCAGGAGGGGTGACGTGGTGGCCAAGATTATACATGAAGAGCAGAACATTGAGTTGGATGGGTCAGAGAGACAAAGCCATAATTAGAAAGTGAAAGCAAGGTCAGACGCTGGGGGCTGGGAACATGTTGGAAAGTGGAATCTACAATGGCTCCTGACGAGATAAGGCTCCGAGTCCCTGCGATTCCCAAGAGTCCCTTTGCAGCAGACTGGGGCGAACTTAGTGAGCTGAGGATGGCAGCCCAGCAGCTTGCCTGCAGCCATGCTGGAAGGAGCTCTTTGATGGCTGCAGAGCAAGGTGCTAGGTTCACCTCAGCTTGGTTTGGGGATCGCTAATGATGCTTTCTGGAGCTGGGATCACAGCTGAGATCCCATACCCGTGGGCTTTTTGATGGACTCTGGAGATCCAAGCTCATGTCTTAATGCTTTCAGTAAGCACACTGACCACTGAGCCATCTTCCCAACCCATGTGACTTTTTCTGGCCAAATTAGATCTAGGGTAGATCTAGAGTTTGCTCTCTGGCCAAATGGCTTCTGTTTCTGTCCCATTCTGAAGCTTGTATTAGCAAGGAAGGCCTGTTTAGAGACAAACTCCTTCAAACTCTCCTTTCACTTTTTTCAATGAAAATTTTGTGATTAATCAGATATGGTGGTGCAGGCCTTTAATATCCACACTTGGGAGGCAGAGACAGGTAGATTTCTGAGAGTGCAAGACCAGCCTGGTCTACAGTGTGAGTCCCAGACCAGCCAAGGTTGCACAGTGAAACCTTGTCTTTAAAATAACAAAACAAAACAAAAACAAAGAAAATTTCATGATGAAAGATAACATACCAGAAAGACCCCAGCCCACTGTCTTTATGATGCAAACAGAGCATGCTCAGAGACGTTCCTGTCAATCATCTTAAGACACAGGTCGAGATGCTCAGAAACATTCCTCTCCACCACGTATGTGATTCAAACTGAACATGCTCAGATGTATCCCTGGCCAACATCTTTAACTATTTATTTATATATTTATTTATTAAAAATTTTCACCTCCTCCCCGTCTCCCCTTTACCACCCACCCCCTTCCCACCAACCCCTCCCATTCTAGTCCTAAGAGCAGTCAAGGTTCCCTGCCCTGTGTGGTCAAACTGGGCACTCTGAATGTGGCTAGCAATGAAGGCTGACTGAGAAGCCAAGGACAGTGTCGCTGGGTTTTGATTCTACTGCATGGACTGACTTTGTGGGAGCCTGGTTTGTTTGGATGCTCACCTTTATAGACCTGGATGGAGTGGGGGAGGACCTTGAACTTCTTTAACATTTTCTAACATGCTGGTGAGCTAAACATGCCTCACAATGTGTCTTCCATGGTCACTTCTTTAGATAGAACCTTCAACGGTTCTATCTAAGCATACTGGGAATTGCGTCTTCCCTCAAGTGCTTTCCTTTTTGACTGTGTGTGAACTGTGTTGGAGGAGGGCTCTGCTCTGCAAATCACTACTATCTGTCCCTGCCTGCTGCGGGGGATGGTTGTTTCTTTACTCTTTTCTTTCTTGGCTGAGTTTGCCTTGATCTTGTGCTCATCAAGATGCAAGCCAGGAACATTTGGACCAAGGAAAAAATGTTGCTTTTTTTTTTTTTGGAGGGAAAAGAATGGTGTTTGAATTCTATCAAAGGAGGTATTCTAGGTTCTCAGATTCCCTTTAGTCCCTAGATGAGAAGCTGGGCTGTGGACACAGGAGGGGAAATGCTGGTTGAAAGCCAGCTGATGCTATTTCTATGGGGGCAAAGGCAACTAGAGCAGATAGAGAAGGAAATAGATTGAGACTCTTACCTTTCAGCACTGTAGGCACAGGAGCATCAGGGAGAAGGGGATGAGCCAGGACCAATGCCAACATTTGTCCAGTCAAAGTTGAGAAGGAATATGGAATCAGTTAAGTCATCCTTTATGTATCATCCCTCAGTGCACCCCAGAGATCCCCCCAAAGGGTCAGGAACCAGAATGACGAACTTTAAGACACATTTACTGCAGAAGTGAGGACTCTGGGGTACCAGTTATGTATGTGAGGAATCTAAATCCTCCCTGTTCCACGTGACTTCCAGGAGTTTAGCAGAATATGATCTCCAAAACAGCTGTTACCTCCTGTTCTCGGCTGGAGGCTGAGATGGTTACTTCTTAGAAAAGAAGGCCTGTCTGCCCTGAAATGCAGCAGTGTATACACAGTCCAGCCTGACCGTACACAGAATGAGCTCCTAACCAAGCCACTTCACTGACACTACGGACGTTAATATCAAAGTCATGGAAACCAAGGACTCTTTCTTCCTCTCTTCCAAGCATCATTCCTACAAGACCTAAGAGAATGGCTGGCCTTGAAGATGATCCCTTTCCCATCCCATGACCTTCAGATCTAGGTTGAATGGCCAAGCTCTGAATCTGCTCCCGCAGAAGGTGATGGCCAGATGTTTGCCTCTCTCTTCCATCTCCCTGATCTGACTCCCCACCCCAATCCTTGTTTATATAGAGAGATTGGGACTTACATTTGACTGGAAGAAGAGCCAGGAGCCAGGGAGTCAGCATAAAAAACAGGCAAAAAAGAGGATGGGGTTAATACTTCTGCAAACTACCTCAGTCTCCCCATGAACTTCTTTGTTCCTTCACGGAATAGTTACATGTCCATTGTTATACAGGTGCAGATAATTTTAGAAAGGTCATAACGGTGGTAACACTGATTGCGAAAATCATCCATAACCCTCCTGTAGTAAGAATGACCCCTATAGGTTTATAGATTTGAATGATTGGTCACCAGGGAGATGCACTATTATAAGGTATGGTTTTGCTGAAGTGAGTGTGGTCTTGTTGGAGGAAGTGTGTCACGAGGCGTGGGCTTTGAGATTTCAAATGCTCAAGCCAGGCCCAAAGTCTAGCTCTTCCTGCTGCCTGCTGATGGAGATGTAGAACTCTCAGCTCCTTCTCCAGCGTCATGTCTGTAAGCCAGCCCCAACTAAAGGTTTGCGTTTGTAAGAGCTGCTGTGTCAGCCTGGAGAGCTGGCTCAGCAGTTAAGAGCACTAACCACTCTTCCAGAGAACCCAGGGTTCAATTCCCAGCATCCACAAGGCAGCTCACAACTGTCTATAACTACAGTTCCACAGGATATGACACCCTCACACAGACATACGTGCGGATTAAACACCAATGCACATAAAACAAAAATAAATAATTATTTAAAAATACAGTTGCTGTGGTCATGGCGTCTCCTCACAGCAATAGAACACTGACTAAGACAGCTCCTTTAGTCTTGTGTTTTTATAACTAGCTTTACAGATGTACATACTTGCATATATAAATATACTTGTACATGTTTTCCTAGAGGCAAATAGACACATATCTATACAGATGGAGCACTACAGCCTTGCAATTGGCCCTCACTATGAGCAGGCTCTGCATCTATTTATTAAACAAACTTTTTGCACTTTCATAATTCTATTTGATCATCGATAGTTAGATACAGGAAATATTGTTTTAATATTTTTAAGTGAGCCAACCATAGTGGTTCATGTCTGAAATCTCAGCCTTTGGGAGGCTGAGGCAGGAGGATTACCACAATTTTTAGGCCAGCCTTGATAAGGAGCTGGGCAGTGGTGGCACATGCCTTTAATCCCAGTCCTCGGGAGGCAGAGGGAGGCGGATCTCTATGAGTTCGAGGCCAGCCTGGTCTACAAAGCAAGTTCCAGGAGAGCCAGAGCTACACAGAGAAACCCTGTCTTTAAAAACCAGAAGAAAAAATATTAAAGACAAGGGCTCACACTCTCTGGGGATCCATAGTCTCAGAGACCTTCCCTTATTCCTTGTGTCATGGAGAAATTATTCTCCAAGGACCAGCAAGAACCATTGAGTCATCCCTGGGGACTTTCCAAAGGTGTGACAGTTGACTGAATTACGGGACACTCGGGTAGCTGGGCAAGCACGATTTCATCTCATCGTGGCATCCGTGGTTCTCAGTGTCAGTCTCACCAAGTCCTTCCTCCTCCTCATCAGAAGCCTAAGTAGCTTGGCATTGGCTGTGGATTATGTGTGCCCCCAGGGTGTCTGTAGGTGTGTTTTGGATGATGTGTGGCCCCCGAGTGTCTGTAGGTGTGTTTTGATGATGTGTGGCCCCCGAGTGTCTGTAGGTGTGTTTTGATGATGTGTGGCCCCCGAGTGTCTGTAGGTGTGTTTTGGAAGAGATGGTACTCAGTGGATATGTGTGCTGTTCTGTAGGCTGGTGGAGGAACTGTAATCTCATTCATCTTCCACCCTTGGATATAAAAACCCCAGGTTCTGCACCTTTGGAACTTCAGGGCTTATGTCAGTGGATCCCTGGGCCCGTGGACCTTTGCCTTAGACTGAGAAGTATGTCATTGGTGTCTGTGTTTCTGAGGCTTTGAGTTTGGACTAAGCCACACTACCAACCTCCCTGGTTCTCTAGCTTGAGATGGTCTGTCTTTTTGTTGTTGTTGTTGTTTTTCAAGACAGGGTTTCTCTGTGTAGCTTTGCAGCTTGTCCTGGAACTCACTTTGTAGACCAAGATGGACTCAAACTCACAGAGATTCACCGGCCTCTGACTCCGGGGTGTTGTGATTAAAGGCACCCAGCTGCTTGGAATGCTCTGTTGTGCACCTTCTCAGTCTCCATCGTCAGGTGAGCAAATATCCCCAAATAAGTCTCTGCACACCTGCATATTCATTCCATTCCATTCTATATCTTATCATAGGTCATCCTAGTCTGTTCTAATATTCTCTTTCTATTTCTATCATATCTTATTTTTGTATTCTATTTCCTACTCTATCTTATATTATTCTATTATATTCTTTCTTTTCCTTGAGTTTGATATCTGGAACTATATAAAGTTTGGAGCTCACTATGTGGACTAGGCTGGCCTCGAACTCACAGAGATCCACTTGCCTCTATCTCCTGAGTGCTGGAATTAAACGACTACTTGGTACTAACTGACTTCTGTTATATTTTTATTCTAATCTACTTCCATTTCGTTATGCTCTGTTTATTCTCTCTGGTCTGTTCTTTCTGGTTCTCTGGAGAATCCTGGCTACAACAAAATTTGCACAACATTCTGACTCCTTCCCTGGTTGAGATTGCATTTTAACTAGCCAGTCAAATCAACACACCATGACAGACTAGGTGCAGGTACAGATGTGAGAGTCCAACTATTTTCTATTAAACAGAGTCTCAGGTAGCACAGGCTAGCCTTCTACTCACTGTGTACTTGAGGATGACCTTGGACCTCCGGTTCTCCTTTCTTCAGGAGAATTCCAGGCATGTCTCATCATGCCTAGCAGCTGCTTACTTTTAATAGTTATTTTATTTAATAGTTATTTTATGACCCTCAAGCTAAGACTTAAAGCAGATTGAAGCCACACTTCACCCTTCCCCAGGATTCCCAGGTTTTCCAGATCCAACAGCATCCGAGGGAAGCCACCTATGAGAACACAGACATGGAGTAGCTACAGTTCTTACTTTTCTCTTCCGTTGCAACTGGAGACAAAAGCATCATTCGTGTGGATCCCGACGAGGCCAGGCAGCAGGTGCAGGGAGAGAATTAGATGTGAGACTCAGATCATGACAATAATCAAGATCACCCACAGCACCCGTGGTTTTGGAGCTAATATACACAGTTTCTATCAAAGTTCCTCCTGTTCACTCATCTACCCAACCATCTCCACACATCTGCATATTACCCACCTACCTATCCATCCACCCCATACCTATTCTCCACCGATCAATTCCCCACCCACTCCTCTACCATCCACCTACCCACCCACCTACCCATCCACTTACCCACCCATCTACCCATCATCCATCCACCCATTCTTCCAGCCACCTTTTTCCCCTTCTGTCTACTCCACTACACCTCCCTACACCCACACACCCATAAATCTACCCAGTGTTCATCTCAATTCATTCATCCCTCCATATATCTACCCATTCATTAATAATTATTCATCATCTATTCTTTGATCCATCCACCCTATATACCTACTTTACCAACCCTCCATCTACTCATACACCCATAAGTACATCCATTATCCTTTGATACACTCCACCCGCCCATCTGCCCATTTATCGATACACTCACCCATCTGCTGTACACTTGTCCATCATTCATTTGCCCATCTACCCACCCACCCATCCACTGTACACCTGTCCATCATTCATTCGCCCATCTGCCCACCCACCCATCCGTTGTACACTTACCCATCATTCATTCACCCATCTGCCCACCCACCCATCCGCTGTATACTTACCCATCATTCATTCACCCATCTATCCATCCTTGCATTCATCACATACTTGTCCATCATCCATCCACTGATCCTTCATCCATCTACTTACCCACTAATCTACTTAAACAACCCTGCAGCTACTCAACCACTCCTAAACTTATTCATGACCCATTAACCCATCCTTCCATACGCCCACCCATCCTTCCTTCCATCCATCCATCCACTGCCCATCTGTCATCTGCTTGTCCGTCATTTACCCGTTTGTGCCTCCATCTACCCACCCAGCCAGCCAACATTCACGGTTCATCCTCCATCCTGTGCTTAGGGCTTAGGAGACACATATAAACTGGAGGCAGCTGTGTTTTATAAACATTGGCAAAGTCGATTGGGAAAAGAGTTCCTGGTAGAGGAGTGAACAAACATTCCATGTGATGGTTGGTCTTCTGGAACCATCATTATGGGCTCTCAAGAACTGAGCCACCTTGCTAGCCCAGTCAGCTCTCTTTTCTCTTTTTAAACTGTATTTATTCTGTGTGTCTCTTACATCATGTATCTTGATCCTCCTCATTTTTCCATCCCTTCGCATCTGCCCTCAGCCCTTGCACCCCTCCCCCCAAATAAAACAAAATTTAAGAGAAAAAAAGGAAAAAATAATAAAAAAGGAAAATAAAAATCTCATCAGACACAGTGAGTCACGCTGTAAACCCATTGTCTGCTTATCTTCACTTGCCAGTGCTCGTTGTAAACAGTCATTGGTCTCATTCAAGGACTTTAGGAATTCTAAGTAATGTGTGTAGAACAGGTAAAGAGGATAGAAAATCTCTGCACTACAGCAGCTCCCCCCACCCCGAGTTTCACTGTGCAGTCCTGACTGACCTGGAACTCCCTCTATAGACCAGGCTGGCCTAGAACTCACTGCTTCTGTCTCCCGAATGCTGGGATTAAAGGTGTATGTCACTACTGCCAGCAATCCCTTCTTAAGGCAAGATCTACAGGTGCCTGCTAAAATTAATTAGCCAAGATGAAAAGAAAAAGAATAGAAATGTGTAGTCTCAGTATCTCCCCCATATATTCACCAGTTACAAGAAGGGAAATAGTAATAAATAGGTAGTGGAGAAGCCTGGCTTCCCAACAACCTTTGCCATGAGATCAGAGAGAACATCATAGGCAAGAAACAAACCATCATCAATCACTTGTCTATATCCCCTAATGAGGGCACAGGGTGATTTTGGTGTATTCTTGCCCCAAATGGATAATGTCGGTCTAATCATGGGGAAAGCCTCAGGGAAACTCAGTCTAGGAGACATTCTGAGACAAACTGACCAGAATCATATAAATGTTTGAGGATTGTGAAAGACAGGAGAAGACTGAGAACTCAGAAGAAGAAGGGCGAGATGACTCAGCAGGTAAAGGTACTGTCCCCCACCAAAGCCTGAGGATCCAAGTTCAATTCCTGGGATTTGCGATTTGCATGGTGAAAGGAGAGAACCAATTCCTAAAAACTGTCTTCTGACCTTCACATGTACTCTGTGGCACACACAGACAGACAGACAGATGGACAGGTGAAAGATAGATAGATAGATAGATAGATAGATAGATAGATAGATAGATAGAATGATAGACAGATATAGATAGGTAGATAGATATAGATAATGATAGATAGATAGATGATAGATAAATATAATGATAGATAGCTAGACAGATAGATATAGATAGGTAGATAGATAGATCTTTTAAAATGGAAGGTGAAGAATGGGAAGGAAAGAGGGGAAAGGGAAGGAGGAGGAGGAGCAAACACAGCTTCTTATGACCCCAACAACCTTCATATTCTGTTCCCACACTCTCTGTTCTTACTTGAACCTTCGCCCCCCATTCCCTCATTCCATCTGCCATCTTTCTGCCACACTGACTGCTCTCGGAGCCTTGAAGGGACTCCGTGTCCTCGAACCCAACATCTTCACACACGCAGTTCCATCTTCCTGAAATAATCTCTAACCCCTTAGTCAGCTAACTCCTGTTCCTTATTGCGGTCTCTTCTCAAATGTCACTTTTCCAGATCAGTCTCCCCTAAAAGCCCCCTATGTGGTTATCTGTTCACCATGAGGATCACATTAAGACAGAGCTATGCCTGCTTTTCCCCAACTCTGTTCCCAGCATTGAGGGCAAACTAGAGCTTGAAAGCACTGTAGGTATAGTAGCTGGGGAGATAGTGCTGTTTGTGATAAGGCTCGCGTCTTTCCAGTGGAGTCGTAGGCATCCTGACATTGTAAAGGACCAGCTACCAGGCTGTTAATTCTCAGCACCACCGCAATTCCATCTCTGCAGTGACATAGGGCAGTCCAGGGGACCCAGTGTAAAGGCCTGGCATCTCCCTTGCACTCTGGCTATAGGGCTGGTGACTCCATTGGTACAAGTGTGGTCTCTGCAGTGACACAGGGCAGTCCAGGGGATTCTATGACAATGAGAAGACGGGGCCAAGAGGCTGACCGACACGGGTGGGTCTCTGCCCCATGTGGGCAAAAGTCACTGACGGGCGTGCAGATGGAGACGACAGGATGTTCCTCTGCAGGGATGAGCCACCAGCAAGGAACTCGTGTAGACACTATGAACTTCAGAGCAGGGCTGCCGACCTAGGACTCGTGCAGCCATCAGTGTCCCCAAGGGCAACCCCCAGCCTGGGACTAACGTAGATACTAGTACCTCCAAGAATAAGGCCACTAGCTAGAAACTCATGAAGTCACAGATATCTTTAAGACCAAAACCCTAAGACTCATGCAGCCTTCACCACAGGGGAAATGGACTGCCTAAGTCCAAAGCAAGGAAGCCTATGTAGACCTCAGAATTGCTTATTGAGTCCAGCCTCAGTGGCCTCCCCATCCTAAGATGCCACCGAGAAGAGATGGGGGTGGGTGGAAACCTCACCTTCACGAGGGATACAGGCCTCTGCCAGGCCCAGGAAAAGGAGGACCACCAGGGACCTCTTCAGAAATGGCTCCAATTGGCACATAGTGGGGCCTGGACCCAGTATCTGGTCTTCTCCTTCCAGCTTCAAGAGGACTTTGGTCACCCACTGTTCTCCTGGGCTCTCAAGACAAAATTCGCGCCCACACATGCCCTCCAGCTACCTGGAGGCAGCCAGCTGGTGAGACTGGAGCCCACGCCACCAGCTGCTGGCCCAGCAACTGCCCCTTCCCACCAGCACCTGATCTTCTTCTTAAAGCAACACTCTAATTATATGCTGGACCCACTTGCTTGTTTTCCTGTGGCCCAAATGCAACATCTTGTGTGGTGACGTCCATAGCAAACTGTGCGTTTTTGCATTTTTATTTTTATTTTTATTTTTATTTTGAGACAGGGTTTCAATCTCTGACTGCCAGGAACTCACTTTGTAGACCAGGCTGACCTTGAACTCACAGCAATCCACCTGCCTCTGCCTCCCGAGTGCTGGGATTAAAGACGTGTACTGCCACCTCCCAGCTTTTATTGTTTTCTAACAGAGTTTAACTCTCTCTCTCTCTCTCTCTCTCTCTCTCTCTCTCTCTCTCTGTGTGTGTGTGTGTGTGTGTGTGTGTGTGTGTGTGTGTGTTCACTGGAGCTGGAGGTACAGGCATTTGAAAGCCACCCAACACGAGTTCTGGGAACTGAACTCCGGTCCTCTGCAATGGCAACAAAGTGCTCTCAATTGCTGAGCCATTTCTCGAGCTCGTACTATTATGGCTTAGTTTTCTTCTTTTACTTTTATTTTGTATGTGTTGGTGCTTGTGCATCACATGCATTCAGGACTCTCAGAGACCAAAGAGGGTGTCAGACTACCTGGCACCAGAGTTTGGATGGTTGTGAGCCACCGTATAGATGCTGGGAATCAAACTTGGGTCCTCTGGAAGAGCAGCCAGTGCTCTTAATCACCGAGCCATTGCTCCAGTCCCTACAGGGCTTCTTGTTGTTGTTGTTGTTTTAAGACAGGATCTTATTTTGTATCCTGAGCTAGACTCGAATCCATGGTGATCCACTGCTATAATCCACAACATTATACAGTAATTGCTTAGCCATCTTTTCACGAGCGACTTGCCAGAACCAAGGCATCTGGTAAAGGCTGAAGCAAAAGGCAAGGCTATTTGGCGTTATTGCTCTGTAAATAAAATGGCTGTCCTTTGCTGTAGGCTTTTTGCTGTAGCCGACCTCCCTTTCTGTTACATATTTGGGGATGAATTCCTTAGTTCAGAACTGTTTTCTATGTCTTTGGGCTATGTGTGAAAACAGTTTCCCACTGGCCAGGCCCGTTCCTCTCTCCTAGGTAAGCACAGAGATCCGCCTTCCTGTAATTATCTTATCGCTGCTTAGGGTCTGGGCGTAGAGCATCCCACTTAGGATTTTCACAGAGCCCCAAGGACACAGAATTACCCCCTGCCCATGCCGCTGTCCTGGTTTTACCCCACTTAAAAGATTCTTAACCACTTTCTCCTCAGTTGACTAATGATTTTAGTTCAGGAAATTTACAGTTCTGTTTTACTCTCAAGGACAGCAGAAGAGATAATTAACTGCTACCAGAGAGGAATTTCCTTCCCGATCGCCAACCAACCAGAATGGCTGTTAACAGCACACCCCGGAACTGATAATCTAGAGGCCTGGCTCTCCCCCTTGTCTTTATTGCTTAGGTGTGTACTCCAGACCTGTAGGCCTGGAGAAACTGCAGCGTCTGGTGTACTTGTTATCTGATCAAGAGCCGTGGCTTCTAGCTGACTGTTCACATAGATTGCTTGGTTACCTATGCATGCTGGGAGAGGAAAAAAGCAGAGCACTGGAAATAAATGTTTTAGCCCTTTACTAACCACCTAAAAATGAAGTGTAGCACGCTAACCTTCCCCTCTAGAATTCCCTGGTGATTTTATTCCTTTCTTAACTAACTTTCTCCATTAAGGAGTTCACCGGGTGTGTACTAGCCAGTCCTGTGGGTCTGTGGGTCTCTCTCTCTCTTTCTTTCTCTCTCTCTCTCTCTCTCTCTCTCTCTCTCTGTGTGTGTGTGTGTGTGTGTGTGTGTGAGAGAGAGAGAGAGAGAGACAGAAAGAGACAGAGAGAGAGACAGAAAGAGAGAACGAGAGAGAACTCTTATCTGATTTTCTATGGAGAACCTGGAACCTGCTAGGGCTGGGGAATTGCTAGTTTTAAGGTTATGTATGCCTGGGAACATTTGTAATGGGCAGAATAATGTAGGACAAGGAAGAACGATGTAGAACTAAGAACAATGCAGAACAAGGAAGAACAAGAAGGAACAATGAGAAATGATGGGTTGAAGAGAAGAATAAAGAAACATGGACAGACAATTCCCATTGTGAGTAGATTTCTTACCCCTCAGATTTTAACCCTCAGATTTCTAAAACCGCTTTAGCTATTCATGGTGTCTTTAATTGAACCCCTAAAAGGGAGTCTTAAGGGCAAAAACTTTTAAGGCTCTCATTAATCCTCCTGCCTCGGTGTCCCAAGTTTTAGAATTATAGTCATGTGCTACTACACCAAGAACAATTTTGTTTGTTGAGGCAGGTATCCCACAGCCCACCCTAGTCTGGAATTCACCGAGTCCCTGAGCATGACCTTAAGCTTCTGACCTTTCTGCCCCTGCCTTTCCAGTGCTGGGATGGCCGGTGTCACCGCCACACCCAGTTCATGCACTTCTGGGGCTCAAGCCCAGGCAAGCACTAAGCATTCTATCAGCCAAGCTACCCTGGTCCTTATTTCTGTTTCACATTTTTTTGTTTGCTTGTTTGTTTTGAGGGGCACTGTGGGTGCATGCACATTTGAACAAGGAAGGGCCATGGAGGTCAGCAGACAACATGGTAGAGTTGGTTGTCTCCTACCATGTGGGTCAGGGATGAAACTCAGGTTATCAGGCTTAGCAGCAAGCACCTTTACCTGTCTTACAATCTCCTAGGCTCCCGGTTTTGTATGCTTTTAAAACAGGTTTGTACTTTGTAGCCCAGACTAGACTTGAATTTAAGATCCTCTTGCCTCAGCCTCCCAGTTTCTGAGATGACATAGAACACCACTGTGTCTGGCTATGGAGTCATAGTGAGGAAATTCTCTTGGTGGAGGATGGACATGTTTAGTTCAGATGGATTGGGAGGTGATGTGAGCATCTCTGAAAGCCACAGCAGGGCTGAGTGTGTGAGTTCATCCAGGCTGGGTGGTGGTGGTGCACGCCTTTAATCCCAGCACCCAGGCGGATCTCTGTGAGTTGTGAGTTCAAGGCCAGTCTGGTCTACAAGAGAGAGTTCCAGGACAGTCTCCAAAGCTACGGAGAAACCCTGTCTCAAAAAAAGAAAAAAAGAAAGAAAAGCTTGAGGCCCATCTGGGCTGCAGGAAACTATCAGATGAAAAGGGAAGAAGGAAGAGGGAGGGAGGGAGGGAGGGAGGAAGGGAGGGAGGGAGAGCTCGGCAGGGGTTTGCTGTTAGGTTGTCTGTCTGACATCCCCACCAGCCTATGAGGTCTTCAAAGACGAGGACCCTTTTCTCACACTATCCCCGATGCCAGCACAACACCTGCTACACAAAAGCAACTTGGTAGTTAACTGAAAGTTCCATGAGTCCCAAGCATCCCAAACGTCACTCGTGGGAAAGGCAGGGCTGGCTACCTTCAAATCCTCTACCTGCTCCTGGCCGAGTTGACTTTCTGTTTCAGTCTGTGATAAAAACAGGAGGAAAGGGTGTATTTGGAGTACAGGTTACAGTCTTAAGATCAAAGATCCGAGGGCAGTCGGGCAGCAACTGATGACAGAAACCTGGAGGCGGGAACTGAAGCGGAGACGTGGAGGGGTGCTGCTTACTGGCTTGCTCCCTCCCGGGGCTTGCTCAGCCTGCTTTCTTAGCGTGCAGAAGCGTCTGCCTGGGGACAGCGCCGCCCACATCAATCTATTCAGGAAAATGCCCTCCTAGACTTGCCCGTATGCCCATCTGATGGAGGCATTTTCTCAAACGAGCACCCCTCCTCCCAGGAGACTCTAGTTAGTGTCGAGTAGTTGAGAAACCCAAGTCGCACAAGCGCTAAGGGACAGGTGAGGAGGGCGTTCTGGGAAGCTGCCAAGAGCTCCTCGAGCTCCCTGGGGCTCTGTCTCAGAATGGGCAGTAATGGCAGGCAAGGGACAGGTATCAAAGGTGGGGAAGCCCTTCAGCGCGTTGGGAATGAGTGTCTAGGTCCTGTTATCTGTGATCCGTGTTGTCCTGACAGAACACTGTAGGCCCCATCCCGGCGAGCCAGCGTTCTGTGTCCTCCTCCAGGTTCACCTCCACCACCTTTTGCTCTCCCAGCCTTAGGCAGTCAGTCATCTGTTCCTGGAAGTCTAATAGCCAGAATCCCCTCCAATCTCTTAGCCCTGTTTACCTCCTTCCTGTTCAGACTTGGGGATCCTCTTCGCCCTCTTTCATTAGTCCTTCCAGCACCTGATCTGAGGTGTGACCCTAGCCACACTCTAAGTGCGGGGCGATGAAGCCCTCCCCGAGTCAGCAGGGTGTTCATGAAACTGTTTCGGAAGAGGGGAGAAAGGGAGAGGGAGAGGAATGGGGAGGGAGGAAGGGAGGGGGAGAGGGGGGAGAGGAGGGAAGAGAAAGAAGAAGAGAGGAGGAAATGAGAGGGGAGGGAGAGGATCTCTCTGTTGCTGACTGAGGTGTCCACCCTGAGCCCTAACCCCGCTGTCCTCACCTGCCTCTGACACCTAATCTCCTTCACTGACAGACTCCCTGTCTCAGGTCCCCTGCTCATCTTGAGCCTCCATTTAAGCAGTGGTTCTCAACCTTTCTAAGGCTGTGACCATCTTCCTTTTCTTTCCTTTCTTTGTGGGTTTTGTTTGTTTGTTTATTTTTGGGTTTTCTTTTTTTTTGTTTTGCTTTGTTTTTTGTTTTTTTTCGAGACAGGGTTTCTCTGTAGCTTTGGAGCCTGTCCTGGAACTAGCTCTAGACCAGGCTGGCCTCGAACTCACAGAGATCCGCCTGCCTCTGCCTTCTGAGTGCTGGGATTAA